GCCGTGCATGCCGCATCTACTGTATTTATGAAGGTGGATTGTGGCAAAGTGCACTTCCGTGCACATTGTCGGCTTTTAACATCTATTGCACAAGCAATTGGGCTCACTCTGACATGCCCCTCGGAATGTGCGTTCACATTGTGGATGCATTCGTGGAGGGATTGCAGACGGTGCTCGTGGGTGCCATTGTGTCGGCGACGTCATTGGTCTACCTCCCGACGTGGGGAACCATTGATGGAGACCTTTTCATTAGGGAGATCGCATACAATTGCCAGCTTGTGTACAAAGGCACAAGGGAGATTGGCGGTGCTATTGCATCCTTTTATTGGGTGCTGGTATTGCCAGATCGCTTCATTGATGCTCTGTGCCTTCACCGCAGAGGCCAGAATCGGCTTTTGTGTTTGCTGGGTTGGGTTGCTCGCATCCTGGGATTGCGGGACAGGACAGCCCAAGTTCTGCAGCGGGCAGCAGGCGCGTGGAGAGGCGCTTGGAGAGTCTCCCGTGGCCTCGGCGCCGACTCCCGCAGCTTCTTGTTGGTGCTGTGCCAGGACCGGGTGCGGTCGGAGGCCGAGAAGGCGCAACTGGCAGTAGTTGAGGCCAGGGCTTGCGACAATGCAGGGTTGTTGGTGCCTTTCACACCGTGTCAGTTGAAGCTTGTACGATCCTGTAAGGATCACATGCAGGAGAAGGCGGAGGATTGGAACCTCAGCAAGGAAGCCATCGAAGCAGCTGCACAATTAATGCTATCAGATGGGCAAAGCCTGCCGACGGACCTCGATGAACGAGGGATCATGCTGCTGTTCCTCTACGCCAAGGGCATCTCGAGGCAGGCAACATCGGCAGTAAGAAGAGCCGAGTTCGCAGCATTGCTGACACCAGACGACAATTACTACTACGAGCAGTCGCTGCAGCGCCTGGGGCGCCTCGTCCTGGAAGGCGAAAGAAGCGATAGTGTGCTGGACAAGTGCAACTCCTTCACTCGCTTCCTCGACTCAGTCCCGGCGTGGCAGGACAACGCGGCGTCCTATGTGGCGTTCCGCGACGATCCACGTATAAGCTGCGGGCTGCTGGAGCGTGTGCAGCTCTCCGGACTGTGCTACATGCACGCCCCAATTGTGCTGCAAGCTTACCTCGTGGCGATGCACGCGGGCAGCCAGACCGGCGCAAGCAAGATGCTGGACCTGGCAGATTACATCCGAAAGCACAGGACAGCACAGGAGCTGAAAAACCACATCTTCGAAGATGAAGGTGGGTCAGGCGAGGCGTTCCTTCGCCAGATTTTGGCGAACGCTTCCGGACTCGAAGGGTTCGCTTGCACACAAATGGTCGACGAAGTTGTCGGGCAGGCCATTATCAATAGAATCATCAGCAACCTCAAACAGTTCGGCCCCGCACTGGTGTCCGGCTTCATGGTCACCGAGAACTTCCTGGAAGCCAAGATCCACGAGCACCTCGGCCAAGACAACAGCACTGAAGTCGGCCTTCATTCCATGGTTCTGGTCGGCCACAGGAAAGAAAGCGGCCAGGACCGGTTCCTGTTGCAAAGCTGGTGGAGCGACAAGAGCTTCATCGAAGTAGACGCGGATTACTTGGCAGCACAGCAAGCTTCGCTGGTGTTTGTACAGGCTGAACAGCCCGACATCCCTGCTCAATTTTCTAGGAATTCGGCCCGCCACGTCGAGCTGGAAATGACGGTGAAAGAGCGGCTTCCGATGGAAATGTGAAGTCAGTGAAAAGAGACCAGTGCGTAGATGTGCATAGACCAGGACGACACACTGGCGATGCAAGGATGAATCCAGGCGCTTGCGTGGAAGCTGGGACCGGTTGACGATCCACGAGGATCTAATCTGATTTTTGTGTTTTGAGTGCACATGTGGATTTTCAGAGAGTCTGCAGCGAGGATTGTGCTCAACGTGTAGCGATTCTAGACAAGCGTATTTTTGCCTTGCCTTCAAACAAGTTCCGAAAGTGGTGGGATTTCCGGTTCCCAGGCATCCCCGATGCCAAGTTGTGACATGAACGAATTCCCCAATGGTGCGTTTGTTTGAGTTCTCGGCTGTCCCGGCCGTTCTTGTGTTTCGTTGGGTTTGGGTGTCCCTGCAGGGCTCGGTCCCTGTTCCAGTGTCCCTGGAATGCGATTCTGTCCAGGTGTTCCTGCGGTGTGACCTGTGGCTTGCGTGTGGGTTCAAGGTTCTTTGCACTCCTCGGCGCCGTGGATTTGATGCAGGTGCGGCTGTGATGCAGGACTCTAGCTCAGCTGGGAGGTGAGACGGTAGGACACGTTTTGGGCATCTGAGCAAAAGAACTTAGCATTTCCAGCCGAAGCCCCAACACCAGACCCGTGAAGCGTGAAACCCAGACTCCAAGCCTCAAAGCCCTCAAAAACCCAGGCCCTGGGCCCCAAGATCCAAAGCGCCTTCAACATCCTGGGCTCCCAACTGCAGCGCCTTTGAGCCATGGGAGCCCGGAAGGGTCAGAGAGACGATGCTGTCGCGATCCTCCTCCTTGTGGAGGTCTCCGCGGAGTGTGGGAGTGACCAAAAAAGGGGAGAGAGAGAGTGAGCGAGAGAGCGAGAGCGCGACCGAAGTGAGACGGAGAGCTGAGCAGAGCCGAGCCGGGCAGAGAGCTGAGCAGAGCCATTTTTTGCGGGACTTCTTTTCTTTCTTCGTTTAGGGGTTTAGGGGTTTAGGGGTTTAGGGGTTTAGGGTTTTCTTCTTTGGTTCTCGCCTGCTCTGGGCTTGGGCTCCCTCAGCGCAGGACCACGAGGCCCACGACGTGGGAAGCCGCGGTCTGGACGTCAAGGCGCCCCTTTTTGGGCCCCTGCCAAAGAGAAGCCAGGAAAAAGCCCCCAACAAAAAACCAGGGGCTCAGGGAGTTTTTTGCGGAGGTGGCAAGCCTGTAAACTGAGGGCAGGGCTCCTTCTGGAGCGATGGCTTGATGTGCACGTGATTTCTTTTGAGAATGTCTTCGGGGCTTCAGATTGGGAACCCTTCTCGAGATGTTATGCCAGACGAGGGCAGCTAAATCCACCCTGTCTCCGGTCTTCCAGCACCCTGGCCTTCTCGAGGCTTCCGTCTGCAGCTTTGACCTGAACCTAAAGCCGGCTAAACCGGTCAAAGCTTGAACCTAGCCTAGCCTCAAAGAGCCCCCGAAACGACGGTAGAGCCTTCAAATGCAAGCCACGGACACCGCGGCGCACCTCAGACGCGCGTCCGCTGGGCCTGGGAAGCAGCGCGAAAGTCCGGCGTGAAGCTTCGGTTTCTGCCCGGGCCTGAAAGTTTCGGGATTCGGCTGGTAGGTTTTGGGGTAGCTTTGGCTCGTGTTTATGTTCTGTTTTGTTCCATGAGAGATATTCAGAGCCCGTGATGTGTTCAAAGGAAAGAAAAGGAGGAGCTGAGGCGGAGAGAGCCGGAGCAGAGAGTGAACCTCTCTCTTTGGACTATCCGAAAAATATGTACATGGTCTAAGTCTAGTCATCCACTAGAAAAGGGGGGGGACGGCGGGGCCGGGGTCCCGTCCCGAAACTTCAAAAGCCAGCAAGGTCCGTGAACGTCTCGGAGAACACGCTCAACGGAAAGCACGGTCTCCAACTCCAACCGCAGGCACAAGCTCAAGAGATCTTACAAAGGAAGCTAGTAAACCCCTGAGTACTTTGATACTTGCTTCCCCTTGTATAGGCCAAATATAACTTCCCCAAGGCCCTGTTCCAATGCTTCAGGCCCTTATATTGCGGTTGACAAGGGCTAAGGGCTTTTTGAGACATATCCCAGACCTTTTTGGAGCCTGCGCAAGCTCTCGAAGACGCTTTTACAACAGTGCATTCCTTCCCATGGAAGTCCTATGAACCTCGACGTAAAGCCGTCAAGAGATCCGAAACTCCCAGTCCTCACTAAAGCCCCCACACGCCCTTTCCATACCAGTGTGTAGGAATTCTGCCGAAACCCCTTACACACTGAGAGTTCCGACCAGATGCAATTAAGAGGTGTATGAACAAACGCAGTGACATTGATTGATATTTGTCGCTACCCACAGAAGCATTAGTGTATGTATCACTCGGCAGCAGAAACTGTGATCAAGGTATGGATGGGTATTGATATCAGTATGAATGGCATCAGAAAGTGTCCAGTCTGTCTGTCGCACATGCCAGAACTCAGCAAGCATCCTGAAGTAGAACTACGTACCCATTCAAACTCAAACCTTGTATAGACCTCGATTACCCAAGGCTGCTGCACGGGAAGTAAGCCATAGCCCGGAAGACAGAATGGCGAACTACACCAAACCCTAAATCCCAAGCCGTTTGGTGCATGTAATGGCTCTTGCGGTATTGCTGCAAGTGCAGCATCTGCCACGACGAAGACTACCAACAGTACAACGCCAAGATAGCAATAATGATGACAATGGAAAAAGGGCGTGATAATGACGACGGTTAGAAAGTCACTCAGAGCAGTCAGAGACGTAACACAAATATCCGCAAGTATACATGGTGGCAACGGTAGTGATAGAATAGTGATAGGTCCAGCTGCTCCGCATTCTGTCAGCAACATGCCGATTCGGGTGGAAGTGCGGCTGCTCAGCGGCAAGAGCGCTGGGGTGGAAGTGGGGAAATTCCTCCCACTTCCATCAAACGGAATCACCCGAGACTCCCATAAGCCTCGATAGGCACCGTCGAGACCCCTCCACCAGTTTGCTTTCTTCGTCATGCCCGGCCTCAAGCACCTTGGGCCCACCCGAAACGATTGTCCCAGGCTCTGTAACGATGATGGACACGTAGGGTCCCGGATGATGCAGCCGTTAAGCCCCAAAGTGCCCTACCGTGCCCTTGTGCTCTATGTCGATTACTGTGGAAGTTGGACTGCTCAGTGGACGGACAGCTACTCTCCGTGCAGGCTTGGAGGAAGAGGTCGGCAGACTGAAACGTCGGGCACAGACTGCGCTCGGAGTAGGGAGATTTCGGCTGCTGGACTCATTTGGAGGCCTTCTGGATGGACGTGCGCAGATCAAGACTTCCAAGCTGCAGGATGGCGACTCGCTGACCGTCTCGGTAGGCCAGGTGCAGGTACGTGGTACTGAACGTGCTTTTGCTGCCATCCGTGGTGACGGTTCGGTGATGACCTGGGGGGATGCTGGGTTTGGTGGTGACAGTAGCGCTGTGCAGGCTCAGCTGAAGAACGTGCATCAGATCCAAACCAATCGCTTCGCTTTTGCCGCCATCCTTGGTGACGGTTCTGTCGTGACCTGGGGTGATGCTGCATTTGGAGGTGACAGCAGGGCTGTGCAGGACCAGCTGAAGAACGTGCAGCAGATCCAGGCGTCTTTATGCTCGTTTGCTGCCATTCTTGACGATGGCTCTGTCGTGACCTGGGGTGATGCTTACCATGGCGGTGACAGTAGTGCTGTGAATGGTCAGCTGAAGAATGTGCAGCAGATCCAGGCCACTAAGGCCGCTTTTGCTGCCATCTGTGGCGACGGTTCGGTCATGACCTGGGGTAGTGGTGGGTTTGGTGGTGACAATAGCGCTGTGCGGGCTCAGCTTAAGAATGTTCATCAGATCCAAGCCACTCTCCGTGCTTTTGCAGCCATTCTTGGCAATGGATGTGTTGTGACCTGGGGTGACGCTGAGTCTGGCGGTGACAGCAGTGCTGTGCAGGACCAGCTGAAGACTGTGCAGCAGATCCAGTCCACTCAAATGGCTTTTGCAGCCATCCTTGGATCAGTGGTGACCTGGGGTGATGCTGGGTATGGTGGTGACAGTAGCGCTGTGCAGGCTCAGCTAAGGAACGTGCTGCAGATCCAAGCCTGTGCTTGCGCTTTTGCTGCCATCCTTGGTGACGGTTCTGTCCTGACCTGGGGTCATGCTGCATTGGGCTTTGAAGGCAGGGCTGTGCAGGACCAGTTGAAGAATGTGCAGCAGATCCAGGCGTCTTTATGCTCGTTTGCTGCCATTCTTGACGATGGCTCTGTCGTGACCTGGGGTGCTTACCAAAGCGGTGACAGTAGTGCTGTGCAGGATGTGCTGCAGGATGTGCAGCAGATCCAAGCCACTGATCGCGCTTTCGCTGCTATTCTCGGTGATGGATCGGTCGTCACCTGGGGCGATGCTGAGCACGGTGGTGACAGCGGCACTGTGCATAAGGCGCTGAAGAATGTGCAGCAGATCCAATCGTTTTGGCTTGGTTCCGGTGCGTTTGTTGCCATTTTTGACAATGGATCCGTCGTGAATTGGGGTAGCGCTGGCCGAGGTGGGGAAATCGTTAATTAGTGTGCAGAGATCCGCTGAGGAGCATTCAGCAATTCACCAGATCGGCGCAGTCGAAGTGCCCCGTGCCCAGAAATGCTACGGCAACTGACTGCAATTTCCATGCTCTTTTTTTTCTATCCCTGCGTGCTTGATGTAAGGCCCCTGCTGCTGAGTCGTCAAGAGTTGGTGAGATCACAGCTCAAACCTGTTTCGCAATGGCCCTTGTTCCTTGCCGTCGTAGTCGTAGTCCGATTCTGTGCTGGACGGTAGAGGAGTTTTGGCATGGAAGGCGTGAGGCGGAAGCCTCCAAATCTTCTCCAGTGCCCTTAAACCCGCCCCAACCGCCCTACTAGAGCCCTGCAAAGAAAATGTTCAAGGAAGCCTACAGGCTAGAGCCGCCCTGAGCCTTCGGCAGGTGGGTCCGATACTCGTCGAGCTCCTACGGCGTGCTCGGATGGGTGCCGAGAGGCCTTAGCAAGGGTCTACAGGGAGTCCTCTAAAAGAGTTCTTTTCAGGGTTCTATGAGTAGGGCTTAGGGATGGCTTAGGGTTTAGGGGTTGGGGTTTAATAAAGTTTCGGTTTAGGGATTAGGCTTTTCTGATTGCTGCTGAGCTATCAACGCTTGTTGTCATTGCTAAGTACGGTTGCCATCTGTGTTGCCAGTCGTATAACTTAAATTGTTGCTGACTGATTGTTCTTGCCAGAGATGGAGACTGCTGCTCAGCTCGGAAGGCTACAGGAAAACCCTGTTCTCAGCAGCTCAGTCTTGCGAAATCCCCTAAACCCTAAACCCCTAGCCCATCCTCGAAGCCGACGGACCCCAACATCCTTGCCAGGCTCCTCCCGCGCCTGGCGAAGACGCTCGGCATCTGCAACGCGTGCGCACGGGCTAAGGTGGTTGTATGGGGCTATGCAAGCAACATAGGGATGGTTGTACTTGCAACTGCCGGAGCCAGGCCAGCTCGTTAAGCCAACCTGAAGCCCCAATCTGTGCAAGGAGCCCTGCAGCCTTAGTCCCTGCAGTCCGTAGTTTACCGTTCAGGGTTTGGCGAGAGTCTGAGATTTGCGCACACGCCTCTAGGCCATGTCGGTAGTTGAAAGCCTGTGCCGAAGGGACTCTTCAAAGTAAGCTCAGGGCCAGGGGCTTGAAGGCTTGAAGGCTTGAAGTGCGGAACTCGAGGCGCTTTGGCCAGACCGATTACTGACAATCCTCTGCTTGCTCTGCTACTTGCTCTGGCGACTGGTAAAGCACTCTTTGTGTTCTGATGACAGTTCTCGAAGTTGTTAGTTATGATGACCACATTTGCTACTGTTACCAACCGCTGCTGCTACCACGACTACGACGACTACCACCCTTCCATTTCTTCCCTTGGCAGCTTCAGCCTCAGGACCTGGGCCAAGGACGCCCCGAAGACCATGAGAGGACGTTCTCTCGACAGCAAGAGGAAAAGGAAGCCACAAGAAAACTGAGCCTGGTAAAGATAGGAAGAGCACAGCAACCTACCATTGTGGTACTGTACTTTGTTAGGACCGTTGTTCAGCCATGGGGGCTTTTGTGGCGGGTTGTCGTTGCTTGGGTGATACGCGAATTCTGGTGCCTGGGCCGTGCGGAAACCAATGTTGGCAACGAAGTTAGCAGCATTTTTCTTGTGGTCTTACGCTCTTTGCAGGCTGGGCGGTGTAGATTTTTCGAGCAAAGCTGGCCAAAATGCACCGACGATGCAAGACACTCGCAAAGCTCCCGCAATGGGCCGTGAATTCCTGTTGGGAGATCCTCCGAAAAATCCCAAAAAAGCTATGGCTATGAAAAAGCCACCAAAAAACCCTTCATCTTTTTTGGGTTTAGGGTGGAAACTATCCTGTTCTCTCCCTTGCTAGGAGGAGAAGTCGGGTCTTGTGGTTTTTTTGGGTGGGTTTGGGGTGTTTAGGATAGGTTGAATCTGCGAAGATTCAGGATCTTGGTTGGGGCGTTGTGGCTTACACATGCTCTTAAGGGTAAGGGTTAATTAAGGGCAATCTCGCAGGAAACATCCAAGCCAAGCTGGGCAGCTACGGCGAGGTGATGCACAAGCGCTGAAGCCTCAGATGGAGATCCCTTTTTTGGCGGCTGGAGCTTGCGTCAGGGCTTGCGAGAAAAGAAGCGTGCGGTTCAGACCTTTTTTGTGCGGATTGTCACGCGCGTTCGAGAAGTGCTTCTTGCAGTCTTGGGGTCCCCGGTCTCCGGTCCGAACCCAAATGGGTCTCCCGCCAGCCGAGGCATGCACGCCGTGGCCGTCGAAGGTTCCCGGGCAGGCGCAGTTGGAGCGAAGGAGTTCTGCGCCTCTGCACTCTGCTGTTGTCGTCGGTTATAGTTGACACAAACAAGTAATGTTGCTTTGCCCTCCGCCCTCCCCTCCACCAAAGCTGCGCTTCCCAAATCCGGCCTGGGCACTTTCCCAGCTGTGACAGCGTGCTGCTCTACTACTACTACTACTGCTGCTGCTGCTGCTGCTGCTACTGCTACTACTTGTTCTGCTACTGCTACTGCTGCTAGTCCCCCTGCTGCTGGTGCTGCTGCTACCAACGCCACAACTACCACGACGACGCTACGACTGTGCCGCAGCAGGACACGAACATGGTGCAAAGTGCATGCAGCCTCTGGATGAAGGACCGGGCCGCTTTCCAAGCCCGAAGCCCTTCTGGCGAGTTAGGATTGAAGCCAGGAGGGCTTGGCTGCAATCCGGGGTCCTATGCACTGTTGAAGGCAGCGCTATGTGGCGACTGCAGCAGCCGCTGCTCTTTGCAAGTTGGGATCCGAAGAGCAGAATCGACCCCGATGCGGAGTTCCTGAATCCCAGACCATGAACTCCGATCTTGCGAATGTCAAAGATCCAAGCGGCATTGCCGGGGCATTCACCTGTAGACTTCAAAAGGGCAGAAAGACATGGTGGCTCTTTCTTAGTTAAGGGGTTCGGTGACTCTATTTCATGCGTCCGGCATGGGCAGGACGCTGGCAGCGCCGGCAGGGCTGCTGAGGCACCGTCCTGAACCTCCTCTGGGTCAATCCTCTAGGGCCGTCCGGTCTCTGCATGTTTCACACATTCTGTGAGTACTACTATCAAGTTATCGTCATGGTTGCTGGCATGAGAACTACTCTGTTCACGACTGCCGTCATGTTCACGACCAGTCTCATACAGCAGTGAGTGCACGAGTCCAAGGCCTCCCGAGGCCTAGCACATCCAGAGATTCGGATTTTGGAGGATTTTGGAAGATCTTGGCTTTGGGGAGCGTAGCATGACAAACTACTGCAGGACTGCAGCATGTCTTCCTCAAGACCCTGCTGCAGTTATTGAGGTCCAAGAACGGAAGCATACCTTGAACCTTTGTGTTGAGACGGTAACTTTGGTTGTATGGCCAAGCACATTGAAATCGTCTTGTCCTTAAAGGACACTGGATTTCCCTGTCCGGGATTTTCTTTCTTGAGAGATTCAGTTGCAGTTCTTCCAGTTCAGACTGAACCGCCCGTCCCAACGCCGGAGACCTAAAGCTCGAGTCCTCCTAAGCCCCACACGCTGCTGTGCAGGCCATGCTTGTAGCCGCTGTCTTTGCTACAGACTTGTCGGTGAAGGCCGGGAGGATGCGCGAGAAGAGCATAGCGAGACAAAGAAGGAGTGGGGCGCGGAAGGTGTAGCTGAAGACAGCTTAGTGTTCGTGCAGTTGATTTTCGGCACATGGACCATGATGATGCTGCACTCACCAGCAGGTTGTTGGCGAGTTCTATGGGTGGTGTTGTGGACAAATTTGCCAGAATGGGACGATTACAATTGAAAGTTTGACGACTTCTGTCTGCCTGGCGCTCATGACAGCAATGAGAATTTCGTCCGGGGGTGATGTGACGCCACCCTCAACAGTAAAGCAACCCAGTGGAATAAACCTAAGTCATTCCGCCGACGAGTGCTTACGGTCTGCGCGAGGTGAGGATCACAACGAGATCCAGAAACGCTAGACTCGTTAGACGTATGACTCTAGACCTGCAGCCTGCACGAACATTTCTTTGATGATCACCGCAGGCACAGCACAAGAGACCCCCGCAACAGCTTGCCTTTCTGCGGGCATCCAAAAAAGCAGTCCTCTTTTGGGAGGAAGAGCCAAGCAGGGACCTTGGGCCGATCTAATGCTAGAATACTACAGTACATCATAATATAGAGTATACTACATATATCAGTATATATAGTCCGTAGAGTCACAGCAGAGGATCCCCTTTATCTCTTCAGTGCAGTAGTGCAGCTGCTCTGTGCCCTTCGGGGGGGTGTCTGCGGGAGCCGACTTTGGGGCCGGGCCCGGGCCCGGTAGGGCCCAACTCCCCGCCGAAGGCCAGGGCCCCGCCCCGAACCCTGAGAGAGAGGCTATATCCGCAGGAACCGATCTAAAGAGACGCTTTTGTTGGTGGCCCGTGCTTCGAGGCGGGTGTGCCAGTCCTGGTGCTCGGCCGACCCCCCGGCCGTGGTCCCAGAACCCTCCGCTGCTTTCTCGTGTGGACCTTAGAGAGCTTAGGGATCTCCAAGGTTCGGCATTGCTGATGACATGGTGCAGAGCAGCTTTCACAGATTTCTCGTTCCGCCCGTACGCGCCATCTACTCTGATTCAGCTTCAAGGTGAGGCGCGAGTTGTTTTTCAAGCAGTGTCCAGTCCCATTCGCCCCGTGGCAAGTGGTACATGACCCTTCGTCGATGTTGTTTCATGTGTGCAGCGAGTAAGAGTGCTGCAACGCCGGCGGTCGAGTGATGCTTGGAGCATCTGCCCCCCCGCTGAGAGAATAAAGGCTAAAAAGACCAAGCCAGGAGTTCCTGCAGGCCTTCAACAATTTTCGTAGAAGCCCTGAACCCCTGAACCCTTCTAGACCCCCCTTTACAGAGCCTATGACTCCCTGAGGTCAATTCCACAATACCTGCAGCTTTCAGAGCTGCGAGCCTTCAATTTCCAAAAAGCTCCTGTTTGTCGCACTTCTATACAGCCTATACAACCCAAAGTATCTACCTGCTTGTCTGTCCGTCTTTCTAGTTGTTAAATGTACATCTAGACACTCTGAAAGTTCAATTTCTCGAGGCCACCACGCCACCTGCGGCCACGACCTTCGGCTCGGCGACACCTGGCGGGCTCCCTGCGGACAGCTTCCAGGCAGACCTGAGTGGGCTTTGGGTGTGCCGGAAGGGGACCGGGGTGTCGTCTTAAAGTTGTGATGTTGAGGGGTATCTAATGGTTTCGTCAATGATGAGATGGGCCCGCTTTCGTACAATTCACCTCAAAGGTTCGTGCCAGGATCGAGAATTTCAAGAGGAGCATTTTGTCACACTTCATTTCCAGCGGCGGTCTGCAGCTGAGCACTGCACGCGCGGCAGGTTTTTTGTCGCATCGACCGAAATTCTATAGAGGCTGCCTTTTGCTGAAGCTCCAAAGCAGAGTGGATCCTTCCGACAGAAGGATATTATATTATAATATAGTATAATATAATATAATAGATTATATCATAAAAAACATAATATAATATAATATACCATAATATAATATAACATAATATCAGATAGTTTAATATATATAGTATTGTGTGATAGAATGGGAGAGAGCCGCCTCTTTCTCGCCGGTTCCCCCCGGCAGCTTTCTCTGAGGCTCTGGCTCCGGAGTCGCCCTTGGGGCTTAGGGCTTTTTGTTTTTTTTCCCGAGTATTTGAGGGCGAGGCCACGAGCCACCAAATAAACTCTCGAGCCTGGTTTTTTTTGGGGTTTTGTGGAGGCCTTTTTTTTGGTGGAAGATCCGCACATGAGAAGATCACGAGTGGGAGGTGCCAGCCTCGGCGGCGGCTGCTTCTACCCCTCAGTCTGGCTCGCCGCGCTGCACAGCCTCCGCAAGGCGGGGATGCTTTGGGGTTCACGTAGTGGATGTGTATTTCCAGAATCTGCGTAGTTCCTTGAATCAGCGTCCACACTTAGGTGATGCATACTTGCATGCCCAGCTCCCTCTAGTATTACATGGTAGCAAGTCTGGCTTTCAGCAAAAACAATCTACCAGTTGCAAAAATCTGCCTGAACAGAGAAGGTTAAATATATACGCAGTGATTCGAAGCTGTACCGGAGCTGTAAATGTGAACCTGCACCTTCTACTCCAGGGCCTTAGGTATCACTAGGGCCTTGGGGTCACTTAGGGTTTACGGTTTAGGGTTTTGAAGTTTAGGGTTTAGGGCATGCCTTCACTCATCTCTGTTACAAAACCCCCCGGCCCAATATCCAGCGATGGCAAGGGTCATGCAAAGCGACTGGCGTATGTCGACATCGACGCGCACATGCCCGACGGAGTGCCTCGGTGCAAGACGGCGCTGGAGAGACCGGATGTTTCGGTAAACCCTTCAGGACTTGGGAGCAGTTGGTTACCTGGTTGGGCTGAAGTACTTTGCTCGGGACCGCGGGTTTGGGGCTGCTCCAAGACCAGTGACGCTGAGCCTGGTGTCCCAGCCAGGTTTGGAAGGAGGTCGATCACTTCTCAAAGCTCAAGAAGGACGGCTGCCTTCCCAGACACAGTATCTAAAGCTTAGAGTCTTAAGGTTTAGGGTCGTCTTGGCTTCCAAGCCGTACCCCGAGCCCGAAATTCCTTCTTTAAGCCCAGCCAATCGCCTGATGCACCAGTGCCTTAGGAAACACCATCTCTTTGTACCGGCTGGGGAAGCAACTATTCGTAGGATGGTCCGCAAAACTCTCTTCTCGAAAATTCGGGCTTGTCTAGTTTGATTGAAACAACACGACAACACTGTCTCGGAGAGAGGATCAGCGCGACTTCCTAATTGGCAAGCGCAACTCCTGCACAGGCAGGAACTGCACAAATGCCCCGCTTGAGCTGTGTTCAAGAGTAGGTCCTGGCTTCGCTTCCTGCCATTCGGTTTAACAAAGGTTTGCCAAGCATATGACATGGAACGACCCCGAAGGTATCCTGTTTTCTTCCATCCACATCGATGGCTATCCGCCGAGGGCTGAACGTCTGGCTGCGGGGTGTATGGCATCATCTAAAGAAAATGTTACACATTGTCACATACTTAGCACATGGCCTGTGCAGGAGCAGCATGATCACCCCCTGAGGCTGCATGCACGGCACACCACGACAGCTCGAGCATTCATCGGCTGCTGAGCAGCTGATGCACAAGAATCAGCCTGATGACTCGCTTTTCCCCCACAGCAAGTCTTGCTCAGATCAAGAGTCCACCCCTGGAGCCTCCAAGACTGCCCCCGGCCCGAAGCGTCGCAAGGAACCAGGGCTCCAGCTGGCACTCGGTGAAGCAGAACCTCAAGAGGTCCTTCGAGGCACCCGAAGCCTGAAGGCCCAATTAAGCTCTAAAGCCCTAAAAGCCCTAAACCCTGGAGCCTTCAAGCAAATGAATCCCAAGATCCTTAGACTTCAAAGCCCTAGACCCTGGAACCCTAAACCCTAGGGCCCTAAACCTTGGAAAACTTTCAAGACAATACACGGAATCGAAAATCCTGCTACCCCAACTGGAGGTTTTAGGCTCTATGGGCAGGGATTACTTGCCGCAGTTTGAAGTGTTTGGCCTGTCAGATTCAGCTCGATCGGTGTCGGGTTCCTTGCTTTCTTTAGGATTTAGGGCCTCGGGTTCCACTGGGTGAATGATTACGACCCTTCTTCGTATACACTTAGTTCCACTGTAAGGACAAGCCGACAAAGATTGTGTGCAGGAGCATAACTGCCAGCTGGAAGGGCCAGATAAGAGTTCAACGTGTGGAGCCCTAAGGATGGTCCCCCGCACAAAGCGCACCCCAAGTCCAAAGCCAGTCTTTTGGGGGGCTGTAAGCCTCTAAGCCTTTAAGCCGCAGGTTCGCGTAAGGGACACCCTGCTGCCGCGGAGTGTGACGCAAGGTGCAACGCCGCCTTGGGGTTGGACAAATCGATTCTTCTGGCCCGAGCTTGGGAGCTTGGGTGTGTCAGAAGGGTGGGATTCTACACAGCAGCTGTAGATTATGTAGCTATGTAGCCATGCTTTGTCTTTTATGGCATGAGCTCTGACGCAGGCACGGCGAGCAGCGCCAACCAAGGGCTGATCACAAGATATCAGCGGTGGTGCAACACTCTCGACAAGGCAGAGTGGCCGTACACTTGCAGTGCTTCCCGTGGCGCTCGTTTCAGCTCCAAATTTTGTTGCCGTTTTGCGATTGGTGCTTTACTTCCAGTAGTACTTGTAGGGCCTTTTTGGGCCTGAATAATTGGACGAGGGTTTTTTGCTAAGTATAATGGAAGGATGTAAAGCATAAAAGAGGGGGGTAGCACTATGAGCTATTCAGACCTCGATACGACACCAATCGAACCCCCAGAGACCTTCGTAAAAGCCCTCAAAAAGCCAACGGGAGGAGAAGACGCATTGCGGTATGCAGTAGGTACGCAGGGACGACAAAGGGGATATGACTACGAATTTGCAAAAGTAAGCCGAGGCATAGGAGACGATGCTGTGAAAGCTTTGCAAAAGTAGGGGGCGTGAGTGCTAAGTCTGCCGAGAGCTGTAGATGACTCGAGAAGACAAGGCCGAAGCCCTGAGAGGAGATGACGAGCTTCCAGCCCGATGGGCTCTTCGTGGGGCTGGGCTTTGACCTTCACCAGAAGGAGGCCGAGATTTCGGACAAGAAGGCCGGGGGGCCTTTCAGCCGGAAGATGACGGAAGGGGGGCAGTGAACCTTGGAGCATAAAGTCCTGCATTCCGTCATTTCAGATTCGGCCTCTTCCTTCGGTTTCGCAAGTCGAAGCATTTGCGGTTCACCGGCTTGAGAGTTTCAGCGATGCTGACCCGCAGTCGTTCGTATTGTCCACTGCTGTAACCCTCTTGGAGGTTGTCGCCGGGTGGGTGGTTTTCAGGCAGTCACACCTGCGGGAATATAAGCCTTCGTTTTGCATGTGTTCCACCTTGCGGTGTTTGTCTCATGTGGATGCGTTCCTGTTTCTGGCGCTGGTCCGTGCTTGGCCCCTGCCGGTCTGACGTCAGGGTATCCCGTCTGCAGCTGTTCCGCCAGCCAGAGCCCTAGCTGCCCGTTTTTGCTCCCGAGACCTTCCGACGAAGGTCGGCCGCGGGATCTCCAGGCCTCACTACGAAAGCTTCTTTGCCAACTTCACCAGGCAGTTGGGAGAGCGTCGTGACTAGCGTGTTTTGTTTGGGCCGACTAGTGCTTTATCGAGATTTTACGTAGAATGTGTGCTTCAGAACAGGTCTCGATATCGCCAGCCTGCATGGCCTGACATGGCAATGACAAAGCCTCTCCTGCTCCCGAGAGATCTCGCCAAAGCCGCACGTCCCTGAGAGGCTGCCGGACAAAGCCCCGATGGTGGCGACCTGAGAGACTCAGAGGCTTGCACTTCCTTCCATGCTTGAGAAGTCGAGGGTCTGCAGCGAGAACTGGTGCCTGCTCTATGTCCTAACTTCCGGATCAAGCCCGAAGCGCCGAAATCCTGAGTCCGTGTGGACAGCGTAGACCGCCTTTCCAAAAGACACGCTGACACGTTTTTCCAGCCCAGCGCTTGCGTTTGAGGTTCTCATGCTGGAAGGTGGCTACACCAAGCAAGGCCGGGGCAGCCTAGGATGTGGGGAAGCCCAAACCCCCAAAGGCCCTAGAGGCCCTCCGCAGCCCCTTAAGCCGCAAAGCCGCTTAACCCGAAGCTCCTCAGCTTGCAGCCTTCAGCTGCTGCTGCAGGTGTAGAGGATGGGATCCTTGGCACGCTTCAAGGCCTCAAGCTCCTGGCTCACAGGCTCCGCTGCAGGGTGCCGGAGACTCTGCGTGGTTTCTCTTTTTGGGTTACTAGTGACTCGCTTTGAAGGGGCCGAGAACTGCGGGGTTTGCAGGTTGAGTCTCTTTGGGAAAGCACGTAAAGTCGAGCATCAGCTTCAAAGTCACAAAATCCCTTGCTTCGGCCCATTCTCGCATGATGACGAACATCAGTGTGATTGCCAACCATGGCCATCGTCGCGTTGCCAATCATGGAAAGCATTTCCGCCATCCTTGCTACCGGCAATGGTGCCATATCGTCAGACAGCGGAGGGGAAGCTGTCTGTGTCCTTTTCTTTTGTTGTTTTTGTTGGCCGGTGTTCTTCAAAGATTTAGCGTTTGGGAGGGGGATTTTTTTTTTTTTTTTTTTT